TGTGTCGGCACATTATACAACCTATAATATCATTTTCTATCTATAATATTTAATAAAAGTATCGACATTATATTTTTCCTTGAATATCTATTTCTACCTACAATCGGTCCCAAATGCTTCCTTACTCCAAAACCCCAAACAACACATAAAAAACCCTATCGCGATTACTGTAATAATAAAAAATTAGGGTTTCGACAACATACTTTCGATTCGACTGCAGCAACAAACAAACAACTTCGCTTTAGAAACGCATTCTGAAATGCAGCAACAATTACGCTTCGATTTCAAAAACTCGTCCGTTCTATCTTTTTCAGAGGATATTTAGCTATGGCCTTTATTTTCATCGGATATGTTATTTATATTTAATCGATACAAATACAAAAGTGTCGATACTTTTATGTCAGGTGTCGATACTTTCGAAAGGATAATTACCTATTCTTGAAAGTGTCGATAATTTATTACACGTACTTACGAAAGTATCGACACTTTAAATATATCCGGTATCATTTTACCGGTTTTATCATTTTGATACCGGTTTTATCATATTTTTTACTGTTATATCGTTGTGGATCGATATATTTTTTAAAGTATCGACACATTATAGGCGCTATAACTGCTTCTCTTTTAAATTCACAAAGTGTCGATCCTTATATAAAGTATCGACACTTTTAATATATCCGGTAACGTTTTACCGGTTTTATCATTTTGTTACCGGTTTTATCATATTTTTACCTGGTATATCGTGTTGGATCGATACATTTTTAAAAGTATCGACACTTTATAGGATTTAAAACTGCTTCTCTTTTTAAATTCACGAAGTGTCGATCCTTATATTAAAGTACCGACACTTTAAATGTATTCGGTAGCGCTTGACCGGTTTTATCATTTCTATACCGGTTTTGTCCTAGTTTTACCTGTTATATCGTTTTGGATCGACACGAAACGGTAGCACAATTTTTTAATATTTCTTCATGACTTAGACCTACTTTTATAAGTATGGACACTTTTATAAAAATGATACTTTTTTAAAGTTATGTAATTTATGTTTCAATTTATTTAATAGTGTTTCATGTTTTCCACCTACAATATTAATTTAATAATTTAATTTACACAAAATATTATTTGATTTTTTGATATTTTATAAAATATTATTTAGAATTTAAATTTAACAATATTAACCAAATATAATAATAAATATGTTTTCAACAGTGAAATAAGTATAGACACTTTTATAAAAATGATATATACTTTTTGAAAGTTATGTAATTTATGTTTCAATTTTTTAATAGTGTTTCATGTTTCCACTACAATATTAATTTAATAATTTCATTTACACAAAAAATTATTTGATTGTTTTGATATTTTATAAAATATTATTTAGAATTTAAATTTAATAATATTAACCAAATATAATAATAAATATGTTTTCAACCGTGAAATAAGTATGTACACTTTTATAAAAATGATATATACTTCTTTTAAAGTCATGTAATTTATGTTTCAATTCTTTTAATAGTGTTTCATGTTTTCCACCTACAATATTAATTTAATAATTTCATTTACACAAAAAATTATTTGACCAAATTATTTCCACCTACAATATTATCAGGGAATATGATTACTGGAATGTTATATTTTGTGTTTGGTTGGTTTAGCAGGAATGTAAGATTACCGGTTAAAAGAATAAAAATTATTGGAATGTATATTTGACCAAATTATCCTTATTATATATTTGTATAATATTACAAATTTTAAAATATTTATATTTTCTTTAAAAAATTAAATTCATAATATTTATATATTTTTTACAAAATAAAAAATATAAAAAAGGTTTAATGAAAGGGTAAATTTTTTTAACCCCTGAACTTTATATAAAATTTTAATTATAGACTTTTTTTTTGTAAATCTAAAATAATTTAAGCATAAATTTATAATTTAACCTTCGTAAAATTTTTATTATTCAATGACAGAAGAATGATATTTTTGAAAAAAAATAAAAATTTAAAGGTATTTTAGTCCAAAACGCTTGTAATATTACAATACCTAAGGGAAGGGAAGTAATGACATTCTCGGTATATATACCTCAAAAAATCTACTATTGGTAATAAAACATTACCGAGAATGAGATTCCCAGCCAACCAAACATGAGAATGTGGGATTCCCATCCCATGAGAATCTCACAATCCTTGAATCAAACACCCCTCAGGTCTCGATGTTTGTGCGTGCATAGTATTATTAGGTCTACCTTTTAATTTATATACTACTTATATTTTAATATTATATATATGTATAATTAAATAATTTTTAATTTATAATAACTAACATTATATTTTTTTTATATTTTTCAATGACATAACCTAACTAATCGATTAAAAAAAATATGAATCTGCAACCCAATGCATAAAAATATTATGAGGCAAACTATGGTTGACCTACTTTATATCCTTGTCGATTCTGCCCATTTTTAGGGCAATAAATACAATTTATTATGAGAAATAAAAGCAATTAAAATTTCCATTTTTAATTCAATGATTATTCTGAATTTAATAGCGTGAAAATAGAAACAAATTGATTAGGTAGTTTGCTAAGCTGCTCTTTCAGGGTAATGACTGATAAACCTTGAGTTTTGATTCATTGGTTGAGAAAAAACACACAAGGAACCTTAAAGCTTACGATACTCATTTCATCCCCCATGCTCAAAAACTATAAAACTGGAAAAAAGCAGCAGTTGTTGAGTTCGTGTTGTTGCATTGCAACATGTCCATGGCCGAAGTGCAGAAGAGCATTGACAACCTTTTGTCCTATAGGAATTTATTGGAAGCCAGCGTAGACAATTCGACAGCTCTTGCCTTGGCTCTCGAACAAACCGGGCCACGAATAGCCGAGTTAGACAAAAGGTTGGCACTATTGGAAGTGGCTGTTAGGCCTGGCGGTTCCAAAGATTGCTCGTTTGCCGCTGTTAGAGACCATATTGGTCTCGCTCTTGGCCCTGCTGTTGCAGTTTTAAAGATCTTGGATTCCATTCGTGAGCTTGAGAAGTCGCTGTTATCGGATTCCGGCCAGGACTCTGATATTTTTTCTTACATTTTAACCATTAGACAGTTTGAAGAAGCAAAAAGTTCCTCACTGGCAACTGCAACTTGGCGATCCAATGGTTACAAGGAGTTACCCAGTTCCTGGAAGGTAATTCCGTGGCCGATGATTGATACATCTCGAATGTTATTGCTATTTTAGAGGAATTACTAGCAACTGGGGAGCAAGCTCATCGAAATGGGAAACTTCTCTGTGGTGCATTTGACAAGCTAGAAACTTCATTCAAGCAGATTTTGACAGAGAGTAGTGCTCCAGTTTGTTTAACCATCATCGCCATCGACAGCCGAGCTTCCGGGGCCTATTCTTAGGAAGTTACTGGCTATCGTGGAGAAACAAAATGGCAGTAACAGGATAAAGAACTGCATATCGATATTCCTCGAAGTCCGGAGTCTGAATGCTAGAAAGAGTATGCAAGCTATCGATTTGGATTACCTCGAGAAAGTGATCAAAGAAAATGATGATGTCCGGGATATGGAGAGCTGCATACATGAGTGGAGCAAGCATATGGAGTTCATTGTGAAATATGTGCTTGAGAATGAGCACAGGCTCTGCAAAGAAGTGTTTGGAAGCCTTGCATCAGGTATTTGGACGGGCTGCTTTGAGAAGATTGCAGTCGAATCCGGCATTCTTTCGTTCGTCTGGTTCGGAATGAACATTGCCGAGAGCAAAAAGTGTCCTACCAAACTCTTGCATTTGTTGAACATCTTTTCTGTTCTTGAAGATTTAAGAATGGATTTCAACAAGATTTTCTGAGGGGAATCTTGTAATGAAATCAAAAACATGACAAGGGATCTCGTCACCAAAGTTGTTAATGGTGCCAGTGAGATTTTCTGGGAACTTCCTTTACAAGTGGAGCTTGAAAGACGAAGCTCTCCACCGAGTGACAGATGCATTCCGAGGCTCGTAAGCTTTGTGACCGATTACTGTAATCGGTTGCTAGACGACAATGAGACCAACTTTGACCCAAGTCTTGAGAATCTATCAAGGTTGGAAGCATGAAAAATACGACGTGGGGTTTGTTACAGACCAAATATACAGCGCAGTCAGAGAAATCGCGGTTAACTTGGACGTTTGGTCGAAAGCCTACGAGCAAAGGGCATTGTCCTATGTATTCATGATGAACAATCATTGTCATTTCAATAGTCTTAAAGGCACAAAATTATGGGATCTGATGGGAGATTCTTGGTTAAATGCTAATGGAAATTACAAGGAATACTATTCAGCTCTCTACTTGAGAGAGACCTGGGGAAAATCCTATCTCGTCTATGCCAAGACATTCCAGTTTCATCGACTATTTCCAATTCTCCAAAGAAGAGGCTAAAGGCATTCAACGAAGCCTTTGATGACATGTACAAGAAGCAGTTGAATTGGGTCATTATCGATGAAAGCTCGAGAGACAAGATGCACAAGCTTGTGGTTCAGACCTTGGTGACTGCTTATGCAAGTTACTTGCAGAAATATAGCCTTGTGGTGGAACACAGTGATGTATTTTACATGGTGCAAAGCTTAGAAAACATGCTTAGCACTGTGTTGAAGCCAAAGCAAGTGAAATACACAAGCAGCAGCACGATTGGCTCACACTTCACTGTTAAGCAAAAAAACGCTGCAATAGACCAATTTGGCTTTACACTTACTGCTATGTAATCATATGAACCTTTATGTGTTTATGAATACGTGATTAAATGGACATTTTATCATTGGCTTATAATGTTTAAAGGGACAAAACTAACGTTTTACCATCTTTATAAGGTCAAGATGCAATTCTATCATGTATTAGTTTATAATTTTTCAATTTCGTAGGGGGACTTGCAAGGCAAATTTACCATTTTAGGCAAGTTTAAACGCAATATTTGTTAAGGACGGTAACACCAATCATAATCCACCAATATACCAAATGCCTACTCAAATGTTGAAAATTTAATAAACTGCAAAACAAGAATCATCTTCCAAATAAAAGTGAAGATAAGAGCACTAGCACCACTTGTATAGCATAAGATTAACAAATTTATAGCATTCCGCTGTATGTAATTCTCTTCAGTTGTTTAACCTTCTCGAAGTCACGGGCCTGGAAATTTTTCTCCACCTCCCAAGCAAGTTGTGACATACCATTGAATGAGGATTTGGCACCTTTCTCATCGGTTACTTCCCGGGGAAAAGGAATTCGAACATCGAATACACTGTTCTGAGGAGAGTAAATACGCAAGTCAAAGCCAAGATGATCCACCCATATCATCTTTGCTTCTGATACCTGCTATGCCATACGGAATCACATAAGAGTATTATGTAAACTTAAATCTGAATGTAAAATTCAGGTAATAGACAAGCAAGCAACTTTAGTTCTTGATTATAATCGTGGAAGTTCGAAGATTTTGTCGCACAAGAAGATTAAATATCATTGGTGCTCATATGATGTTATGAATACCAGTGAAGTAGTATGTTTCCATTATGCGAAGCATGCTCTCACAAGCGAATGAACATTTTAGTCTTTAGAATAGCACAATAAATACGTGAATGCTTCATAATTTTCGCAGCATGTATATGAGATAGGGGGAATAAACCGAAAAATGATGAAATTTGTAGACAAGACAGAATGTAGGTAAACATGGATTACATAAAGCAAGCGAGTTCAGTTTTTCTCTCCCCTAAGATCTTTAACTCCACATATTCATGATAAAAATTTGCATCAATCCAAATGTAGAAGCACCAGGATAAATTACCAATCAAGTAAGTCAATACTAGAGTTTCCAACATTGTCCACACTTATAAGTATAACAAATGTAATCTTAAGCAAAATATGTCCTGCCAATTTTTAAATATAAAAAAGATATGGAAATGGGATTTGATTTTTTTTGGGTGGATTTCCCTCACAGGATACCAGATAAGCAGTAAGCAATAGTAAAAAAAATGGAGTAGAAATTATCTAAAAATAGCATAACAGGTGGATATGCACCTGGAAGTCCAAATCAACGAATACATTGCAAAAGCGAAGGACATCTTCTCCGTTATAGGTATTAATTTCATTGACAAATTCTTCAGCAAAGTCTCGAAGTGGATCGGGATTTGCATTTTTATAATCTGACGACGTAACCCATAGACCATCCTGCATGAGTTAAAGAAAGCACATAAATTAACAGAATTGAGTATATTACTTCTAACTAATATAAAACATTCTAACGGATGTCCGTAGGCTAAAAATCATTACACTTAAAGCAAGCAAGACAGCAAAAGGCCTGGTATACCTCATTGAAGTCTTCCATCTGGAGTACTCTTTGTACATCAACAATATAAAGATTGTCTACATCAGCTTCCTCTCCAAACCTCTCCTTCCATACTGAACCAAACCGCTGATGAGGAGATAACCAATTTAAAATTCGAACAGCAGAGATGAAAAAATGAGCAAATAGATAACTACTTAGCACCATGCAAGTAAAAAACAAAAACCCTCATATCTTAGATTCCTACTTCTGAGATACATGCTAAGTGGGCAATATTCAATTTAAATTCCAAATCAGAAAGTTGATTTAGGTTCAGAGAAAGTTGCAGATACACAAAAACAGAAAATAAGAGTGGAAGGGTGGTGGAAGCCTTAACTGTTTGCAGAATATGCATAGATTGCTGCCCACAACAGCCATCTTCAATTATAATTATCACTATCGCTCATTTTATCAACAACCTAACTGAAGTTTCATAAGAAACAAAACATCTGCAGTATTTGGGACTTATGCCATACCAAAAGGGGTAAAAATAACTTCGAGGTTAATTTTCATGACAATTGGGTATGGGAAAATTCAAATGTCATAGACATTAAGAAATCCTTGTATCTGAACAAAGAATAGAAATTCCTCTCGAGTTCTATCCTCTATAAATGTCTTTTACATTTCCTAATACAATTAAAAGTGATTATCAAGTAGTGTTATGAATTCAACATAACCAAACACCGGCGCAAACATATAAATGAAACAATAAAGCTTCGAAATGGGGAAGGGGGGGGAGGGTGAGAAAGTGTTGCAGTTTATTATCCCATCTACTCGATTTGTTCCCAAAACATAGTCATTACAAAGTAATGAAAGACACTGCCTGTTTGGTCAGTGTCAAATATTAATCTCAAAACAGTGTCCTAAATCTTCACCCAGTAACGGTAACACATCATGTATAACTTCTAAAGTAATATCAGTTGGGGGGAAAGGTTCTACCCTCAAAATCGTAGCATCAGCTAGTTTGTTAAGACTGCCCTGTATCGTGCACTGAGGAGTCCGCAATCCACACTGCTCTAACTGATTTCGCATCGCATTGCATTTTAATTTTGTCTATCAAGAAGTTTATATAGGCATATGCATATGAAAGCGCAGAATAATTTACCTGAACATGGAGGGTGGAGCGGTTATCAAGAGAAGGGTGAGGCAAGCGCAAAACAGGAGTGCCCTCAGCATCGACAGCAAACCTTACACCAACGCCCAATGGCCACCCATCTTGCGCTAGAGTGGAAAGGGTCCCCATAGAAGACAATTCCATGATGGTCCTGGAAACCTCAGCAGGAAATGGCTTGTGGTTGGTCGTTGTTTGTGGGACTGAAACAGCGGAAAGCGAGCAGCATAATTTGAAGGGACGCCTGGGTTTAGCATGGATGAATTTGGGTTTTGGAGGGAAGAGAGGAAGCGGAAAGTGGGTTGACAGGGATTGAGATTGGATTTGGAGATTCATTTTCATCTTCCCTTTTATCCTTTATGTATTTCCAGACAAGATGATATGAAATTAGATGGCTTTGCTATCTGTGTTTTGTTTTATTTTTTCACTGTAGGGAATAATATCTTAAATGACCCTCGAGTGTTCACAAAGTAACCTTTGGTGGCCCAAATAAAAAATTACACCGGAAAACAGTATTAGTAGTAACAAAACACTGATGTACTTTACATCATATAATAAAGCACTCGTTTTTTTAAGTAATACCTCGTTATAAGAATGAAAGCAGGTTTCTTGAAACAAAATTGTTCATTGGAAGGTCTAACTCGAGCTGGTTTGGGTCATTCCATCGTTTCACCCGCATCCTGAGCTAAGTGAATGGTAATGTGCTCTAACTTAGCACCCAGAACAGGTAAAAGTGGACATGAAACTTTACATAGACATTGGCTTCAACATGGAGGGTGGAGTGAGCATCTGATGTGTGCTAATTCGGAAGTTACTGTTACGGTCGTTAGTGTTAGACCGTTAATGGAGTTCGTACGCTATTTGCCGTTGTTTCTTCTGCTAAGGTGAACGCCATGTAACACTTTATTAGTAGTATAGACAAAATTTTCAGATGATAGAAGTGTTTGGGTTTGATCTTGTACATACTTCAACTCAGTTATCGGTTTTGTAGTGTTTCTACAACACTACACATTGTGTTTTGTTCTAAAATTTGTATGCTTTCATATGCTTCTTTTGGCATCCTATCAATCTGTGTTGCACCACAAGCACTGGAACCCCTCTTACTCGCTTGATCTTTGCCTCTTGAAAGTCAATTGTCCAAATTAAGTCTGAGTTTTCTCTCCAACATTCCCTCCTTGAATTTTCTACACATCTTTCACCGCCACCTATAAAATAAAGGAATAAATATTCAAACAGAGCATAACAACAAATTAAGAGTTTTACTCTACCGAAAGAAAATTACGTACATGTGGAACATACAAAGGCAAGGTGATGTAGCTACACAGAACTTGAACGATCACAATGGAAAACCAAATAAATTGTAAAAAAAAAAAAAAGCAACGGTGAGCTTTAGATCATAGGATAAAAGCACTGGTTGTTGAATAGTTACCCTATTATAAGTTTAGGGACGATAAAGTCGATTTTTTTCCATAATGCATGACTAGAATCCATACGTGCTCTTAACAAAACAAACTTGTTTGATCAGTAAGAAAAATGGCCACTGAGGGTGTTTTTTTAGAAGGATAGCTTAATTATTTATTTGTAACATTGGCAAGCATACTCAGATCCAGAAAAGAAGGATAGCTTAATTATTTATTTGTAACATTGGCAAGCATACTCAGATCCAGAAAAAGAAAGCGAGTACGAATGCGTTTTGAAATAAGATGAAGTGAATCAAGTGATGAATGATAGCAGGCTTTTTAAACCAAAAATATTCGTTGGAATGTTTAACTTGTGTTGTTTCTCCTTGCTTCATTTCACCTACATCTTGAACTAACCGAATAATTATGTGCTCTAGTTTAGCCCCCACAACAAGAAGAAGCTATGAAGGTTTGTTTAACACAGCGATTAAATGCTATCTGAACCTCAATATGTTTATATACATATGCAACTAATCCACTTACAACAACAGGGAGAAATGATAGCGAAAAATACGTATATCATCCTGCTTGGAAACACACAGATACGAATATTATTATACTTTATACATTATATAAATATGTCGTATACATTAAGATTAAAGGAAATTTACCTTTCACATTAAGTAGCAAAAACATCACCACAAATAGCTACAAGTACCAGCTACAAGAAGGTTATTAGTATTATCTCAAAACCAAAGGGATAACTAAAGGATTAATGAAGCAATTACCGTATGCCAACGACCTTTTTGATGTCCACTTCGAGGGTTCTCATCATGTTATTGTGGAAATCTAGTTCAAGGTGTCCAGGGATATGAGCCTATAATGGGGGGAAAGGGAAAAAAGTAATTGGTTTAACATCTTTTCTAGAAGAAATAATGATAATTGTGGTATGGGTACTTAACCATGATAAACCCTTCTCGAAGTGCTATGTACTCTGACTTAGTAACAAAGTTGTAAAACTGCTTGAAAAATGCCTTCTACCCACACCATATCCCCATAGAATTGTTAAGTGTTTACATCTATAGAGGAGGAAACCATATATATATGGATAGATGAAAGGCTTACTATCCATGTCACGATAAGTGTCTTTTTCCAACCTCCTTTTGCATTTGTTCCATAAAAATATGGCGATGAAGTGAATCCTTTTCCGAACCATAGGAAAACAACATCATCAATCTTGTTGCCTAATGGTAAATCAAATAATAAATTAATTTGGAGATGAGCGGTTTCATCAAGTTACCACTTCTATTTCCAAGAATCCAGTCTTCCCATCGTTTTATCTGTGCATATCATAAACATGAATTATCAAGCGAAAACATCTTTTGAAATGAACAAATAATAATTTACTTATAGTGGAAAAAATCATCACCCTTGCTCCTCCAAGAATCATCGTAATGACACAATATATTACATGAACAATTGCCAAACCAAAGATGAATTCGTGTAGCATGCAGTGCTTCCAGTGACAATAAAGGGACCTTCCCCTCAGATAAGGAAGACAAAGATCAGATTCAAGTATGGTTCGGAGCCTAATCCCTTGATAGAATATTGAAACCATGATAATATATATACCTCAGAGCAATGCTCTAAGATAGTCTTTGTCGAGAACAGGCCCCATCTGTTGTTTATTCCTGGAAGATAATATTCTTGATGAGTTTTGGTTTCACTAGGCCGCTTGCGAGGGAGAAGAACGGTTGACATGTAAGAATCTGGGATGCACATTTTACTTACTAGACCTTGAAACACAGTTAATATAAGGGATATAAACCCTAATATATCATCAGTTCTATCAACAAACATGAATAAAGATTTGGTTAGGAACAAAAATTAGAACCTGTGAAAATTCAAGGTATAGTAAGGATGCAAACCTTCTTTCAGTTTTTGGAATGATTTAGTTAATGCATTTTGCTTGTTATGCTTCAAGAACTAGAGTAGAAAACATAAATCTTTTTAGACTATGATCATAGACTATAATGTGTATTTAAAAAAATATGAAAATTTGTAATATGTACCTTTTTGAGGCAATGAAGAACTCATTCATCGATAAGAGATATGAGAATAATGAGAAAACAAACAATAGCGACTATAGCGACTATCCAAGTCGGTGCATACTGAAAAGAGCTTGGCTCTTCTTCTGCTGTCATATCTTAATTTCCACACGAGTCAATCAATGTGCTAAGGAAATGCAATTGAAATTTCAGTGGTGAATAAGGGCTGCTTTCACGAAAATATCATCTACCTGGAAGCAACATCAAGATATGAAGGTGACAATAATAAATCATATATTAAGGTGAAGGAAAAGGATTTTGTAATGATAAGTAGAAGAAAAGTAATGTGCCAAAGGGATCAACCAAGTGACAAAACAAAGCATAAAACTTGTTTCAGTAATAAAGATGGCCAGAGTTTTTTTTAAAAGAAAAATAGCTTAACTATGTATTTGCTACATTGGTAGTCATACCAAGATCCGGAAGAAGAAAGAAAGTTAAAATGCATTTTGAAACGAGATAAAGCTAATCAAATGAAGAATGAAAGTAGGATTCTTGAACCAAAAAAGTTCAGTGGAAGGCCTAACTCGCTGGTTTGGTCCATTCCATCATTTCACCCACATCCTGAACTAAGTGAATGATTATGTGCTCTAACTTAGCACCCACAACAAGTAGAAGCTGTAAAAGTTCATCTAACATATCAATCAAATGAAATTTGAACCCCAATAATATTTCTCATCTGCTGAATATATAGAGCTAATCAACTTACAACAAGAGGGAAGAATGATAACCAAAAATATGTATGTCATCCTGCTTGAAAAATCACAAATATATGTTATATATGTAGTACACATTATGTGAACATATTACATGGAATAAATAAGAGTTGTCTTCAAATTAGAGGAACATTACCATTCACATTCAATAACAGAAACAATGCCACAAAGAGCCACAGGAACCAACTATATGTATATGACATACACAAAACAAGAAGTATGTTAATGGGTAGTATTTTCTCTTAATCAAACGGATAGATAAGATTTAATAAAGTAATAACTTTATGCCAAGAACCTTTCTGAAGTTAATCTCAAGTGTTCGCATCATATATTCAAGAAAATCAACAGAAGAGCTGGACTTTTCAGAACTCCAATATCTGGTGGAGTGCAGAGTGCAACTTCAGCACATGGATTACCCCGAACGGCCTTAGCAGTCCGCAATCTGATGGAACAAGTAAAGGCTATTTTTTGAGTTCATGTCTTGAGGAAGAAAAAAGAATTTGATCTATTCTCTTTCTCTCTGTCTCCTTTCTAGTTTTACTGTAATTTAATAGTCCTGTATTTATTGGCCTCTGTAATTTAAGGCCAGATATGCTCATTTATTCACTGTAATGTCTCGGATGCACCACCGACGAGAAGGGTATCCCTTTGGCTCTCTGGTGGATTTCGCGCCTGATTCAATGGGTCATAAGTAGTCTTCTGAAGTTCTGTTATTTGTTTACTATTTCTTTCCACTATAAATACCATTTAAACTGTCTTGATTGCTTAGCACATTTTTTTAGAAAAAAAGCCTTCATAACTGTGTTTATCCTTCATGAAAATAGCATACCTTTTTGCCTACAAATTGAACAGCTGTCTAATGGTAGTTGATTTTTTGTATAAGTTGTTGGATTTATTTGATAAATCTTTGATTGTCAATCGGCAGATTCAATATTTTCATTTTCACCATTGGCTATTCATACGCGGAATTTATTAGCAGACCCTAGATGCACCCTTGTCGTGCAGGTTAATTCTTTTGATCCTTTTGTTCTGATGAAATATCTGGTTTATTTATTGTCCATTTATTGAAGACTGGCTTACAGATACCTGGGTGGAGTGGCTTATCAAATGCAAGGGTAACAATATTTGGCGATGTCTACCCTCTTCCAGAACATCAACA